TTTTTTTTTTTTTTTTTTTAAAAAAAAAAAAAAAAAAAATTTTTTTTTTTTTTTTTTTTTTTTTTTTTTTTTTTTTTTTTTTTTTTTTTTTTTTTTTTTTAAAAAAAAAAATTTTGAAAAAAAAAAAAAAATTTTTTTTTTTTTTTTTTTTTTTTAAAAAAAAAAAAAAAAATTTTTTTTTTTTTAAAAAAAAATTTTTTTTTTTTTAAAAAAATAAAAAAAAAATTTTTTTTTTTTTTTTAAAAAAAATTTAAAAATTTTTTTTCTTTTTTTTTTTTTTTTTTTTTTTTTTTTTTTAATATATATTCTCCTTTATCTTCCGATATGAGGGTCAAGGAATGCTTGTCCTAGTGTTTTCCCTGCCATTTTTACATGCAAAAGCTCGAACATACCCAAAAGTCCCCCCCTTTTGTAGAACAAGGGAATAATAGAAGTTAATGAAACGACCTGACGCCCGGGCCTAAATTTTTGGGGAAACAAAACATAACAATTTTTTTTTAAAAAAAATTTTTTAAGTAACCAAAAAGGACACAAGGGATGCTGACATGTGGCACAAGATTTAAAGTAATATCCCCAAAACGGTGAATAAGTTTATTAGACGGGTAAGCAAGTACATTATCATCCTAGTTTCATGTGTAAATTACCCAGAAAACCCCAAATAGACAGGACCTTATTTCCTTTGGGCCTTGAAGATGTGTACAACACCTGACCTCTTGAAGAAAGTTTCCCCCCCAGGGCTATCAGTAAAAACCCCCTGGTACCCAAAACTCAAAAATATCCCAGATGTTGCACAGGTCCTATTAATCAGCTGAAAGGATATCAGTAAATAACTTTTTGAAAATGGAATAGCTGCACTACAAGTGGAGACAGGGTAAATTGGCCCGGGGATGAAAGAGGGCCACGAACAGGCACCCCTTTTCCCAAAGCAAACTTAAGAAAAATGGCTGAAACACACCTCACGCATATCCCACACATAAAAAAATTTTCGAAGGAAAGATACCGGGGGCACCGTTGAAAATTATATAAGAAGGAGCCGGGGGGGACCAAAAAAAAATTTCTTTACAATTTGGTTATCAGGGGAAAGCCGGGGGGAATAAGTTAGGAAACAAATTTTTATATTTAAAATATGTATAACAAAACCAGAAACTAAGGGGGTGAACCCGGAAAAGATCCCCGGTAAAGGCAGGGACCAAGGGCCAACTTAACCCTATAACTCAAATATGAAAAAAAAAAAAGTGCAACACAATGAACCTGCATGTGAGATGCTCTTTGAATGTGTTTTTAATTATTTTAATGTTGCCCAAAAGGGAAAACTTGCGATTTTGGCTTAAATAGCAACGCTCTTCTTGCCGAATAAAGCAAGCGAAAATTTGTGTATGCAGTAATTTCATTGTGTTTTTATATTAAATTATTGTAAATTTATCTAAAAATATTTGTTGTATTGGGCTAAATTAAATTCGCTTGTTTAAAAGGTTTGGTAATTTTTAAGGTTTTTGGTAAAAAAATTTTTTATTTTTTAATAACATAAATGAAAGAAAAATATATCTTTAAAAAGTATAAAAAAATTTTAGAAAAGGGCGTAATTTTAAAAGAGCTCTTGCAATTGAAAAATTTTTCCCTATTCGGCACGGGGGACAGACTGACAACACACACAAACGGAAAAAAGGTTTAAAGGGGGAAACGCCTGACGACACTGGGGACAAGGGTTTGGGAAACATGTAACGGGCATAAAAATATTGTGAGGAATTGACAAGGGGGACAAGGGCGGGTATCCCAAGATGGGGCACAGAAAAAAGGGGGGACAATTGGAATTGAAAAATCCGAGTCAAAGGGATTTACGAATTTTCTTCATCATAGGTTTTCAGGAAATGGAATAGCCTAGAAAGCACGTATGGAACAGGAACCTACTAATTTTAAGACGAGGTTTTTATAAAGCTCATGGAGGGGGAGAGAGGACTAGTACGTCAGGAAGAGGCGGGGGGAGGGTACGCTCCCCCCCGCAACCCAAATAGATAGTACGTACACACGTATATATTATGCATGTGGCGAGAATGAATAACCCATTCATTATTATAATCAAGGGGGGAAACGCTAAACCCTTATGATTATACAGCACCTTGGGGGGGTTGGAGGGATTTGGGAACCCGGAGCAGAAAACCCAATTTCCCAGATCAAAGGCCCCCACCAGCATAAGGAACCTCCTTGAGGGGGCCTGTATTCAAAAAAATAATTATTTCAATCATGGGGGGCGTTAAAAACCCGGGGGGGCTAGACGCCTCGGGGGAGGGGGGGAGGGCCAGCCCTTAGATGAAGATCCCTTCACCAGCATAGGAACCTACTTTAAGGGTTACATTCAACAGTGGAAATAAACATTGTGGGGTCTAGCTAACCGTTAAATTGGATTATTCATTACTCAGGGGGTAAGCTATTTTCAGTATATATACTATAAAAATGGGTCGAGCGTGGGGGGACGTGCATTATTTTTACAATAAAAATAACCGATAAACCCAAAAGGATCATACACCGCTGCAGAGCAGGATGGTGCGCTAGTTATAATGCAATCATATTATTATAATCGTGGAGGAGCGCTAAACCCGTAAGATTATACAGCGCATCTGGGGAGGATGGAAGGTATTCAGGCTCAGTTCAAGGAACCGGAGAACAGACCCAAGTCCCAAGATCAAGAGCCCCTCACCAGCATCAAGGAACTTCCCTTGAGGGGCATGCAATCATAGATTGCACCTCCGAACACAAGCGTATCATTCCTTCACCAAACTCTCGGGAATATTCAAGCCAGATTTCAGTTACTTATTTCTACTCTTGAAGAAACATCTTATAAATTCCAAATCATCATCAGTTACGTTATTTTTATTTTACATTATGTTACTTTTGAACATCTTTCCTCAAGTGATAGTGAAGAATCTTGAATTATTAATATTATTCTTTGGTTTTCCCTTTTTTTAGTGGGAGAGGAGGGTTTAGGAGGGAGAGCGGTCACACTGAAGTAGTTTCAACTATAAGGGAGTGTAGTGTTTTGTGTAAGCAAATACGGACTGCCTATAGGTGCAGCAGTGACGGGGAAAGCTTGGCAGAGACCTCATCTTGTTCCCCGGACTCTGGGTCGTCAGGTGGAGAAACTTCCTCTTGCAGTCCAGTTCAACCCCCAACATCATACTTACCCTCAGAATCACCTCGATCATCTCCGAACCCGCGGCAGCACACCCATGAGAGGTAGCCTATCGAGTGTCAAAAACGCTAAAATTTAATTCTTAACTTAATGACTTTATATGTGAATAATTTCAATGTTAGGATATTGATGTTATTATTGTTATTTTCTCCTTGTTTTTCAGAGCATCTCCTGACAGTGCAGGAGATGAGTTTGGAGAAGTTAAACCCTGCTTGGATTGTGGCCAGGATGACGAGGCTCAAGATGCCCAAGTGTTTGATGGTGGTGGAGGCCAGCCGGTATCCTCTTCAGCTATGCAAAGACCTTCAACAACTGATTCAGACTTTCACCTTGTCCCAAAGTGTGAAAATAGTGACATGCCTGAACGTATGTCCACTACCCCACCCCCACCTGACACAAGTGATCATTCTGCGGATATTACCCCGGTTTCAACGGGAACACCACTTCGTCCACCCTTGGTGTCTCTAGGACCACCACAAACTACCTTAAGTCCCATGCCCCACACACTTTCTGTCTCAGTAGCAGGCCTTTCATCAGGAATGGTCATCTCGGCAGGGCTACGCTGTGCACCACCTGTGAGTATTGCACAACCATACTGGGGTGGAGGAAGCAGCCGTATTAATGGTATGCGACCAGAGTTCATCAGTGGTGGCATGGTGCAACCTACACAATCTACAAATGTTCCTGCTGCTCCTCCAGCTGATTCTAGTAGAGCTGGTTATTCCCCTCGTCTTCGCACACCCACTGTTATAATGGGAGAAGCAGGTGGTGTTAAAACAATGTTCTGGTCAACACCATCTGAAACACAGACACCTGTATCTCAAGCCCCAAGAGAGATGCTCGCTCAGCCTGCTACTTCGTGTGTTTATGGAGCTGATACTAGTGACGCAGTCCGTGCCTCAGTAGATGGTCTCTTGACGTTAGGTCAGGAAAGAAGAGGATCTCCTCCCCAACTCTCTCCTTCAAGTACTCTTTCACTCTCACCTGCTGCTCGTTCTCCAATAACCCAAAGTGCGAGATCACCTCACACACATACCCCAATTGCTCGTTCTCCTTACACTATAGCACCTTCTTCTCCTGGTTACCCAGTGGTTCGAGGTCTAGGCTCACCGCAGAGTTCCGGAGACCTTCAACTCTTACAAAGTGCGTCCTATATACACTCACCTACTGGTGTCGATAGTCAACGTCATCAATCCACTCCTCTCAATATGGAACGATTATGGGCGGGTGATCGGACTCAGTTGCCTCACACTCAACCAGATTCTCCAGCAGCTCTTAACTTATCTACCGTAGCAATGTGGGGTGCTCGCACTAATAGTGGTGAGAGTGTAGTCACTGCTCCTGCTCAACCAACTCCCGTTGAAGACGATGAGGATGACCAACCTATGATATGCATGATTTGCGAGGATCGTGCCACAGGACTGCACTATGGTATCATCACTTGTGAAGGGTAAGTATATCCTCTGAATTGTAGTTTAACATGTACAAATAAAAATTTGTAATAAGTCTTTCAAGAATTAATGCTGCTCGGCTTCCATCTCAGATTAGTTGTTTAAAGCCTCAGTTTGCCAAAGCACTAACACCTAAAGCTACTTCAACCTTGAAAATATAAAATTAAGTAAAAACTTTCACATGCACTTAGAGACGTATCTCTCCTATCAAGCCTAGCTTTAAAGATGCATCAAAGCAGTTTTCAGATAAGTGGGAGGGGAAAATGTTGAATGGGTATTAATGTAAGTACTATGGTATGTGCTGAGTACAATAGTTATATTAAGGGCCTGGACATGGCTAGCATTTTCTAATAAACCTTAGAATGTCAGAAAACAATTGAATATGATATTTCTGGTCTTAACTTGATTACATTTACAAACATGGGTTTATAATTGTAAACATGGATTGTTTATGAAGTTGAATATGTACTGCACTTGACTATTTACCAATTACATAAAATCTTTTCCAATTGCAGTTGTAAAGGTTTCTTCAAGCGAACAGTGCAGAATAAGCGGGTGTACACATGTGTTGCCGATGGTGACTGTGAAATTACAAAAGCACAGCGCAACCGTTGCCAGTATTGTCGGTTTCAAAAGTGTCTACGTCAGGGCATGGTGCTTGCTGGTATGTATTTTATTATTATATTTACATTATTATTATTATAATAATGAGGAAGCGCTAAACCCATAAGATTATACAGCACTCTTGGGGGGGGGGGATGAAAGGTATTCAGGCTTAATTCAGGGAACTGGAGCACAGATCCAATTCCCTAGATCAAGAGCCCCTCACCAGCATCAAGGAACCTACCTTGAGGGGATTATATTTACAGTAAGACCTTGATTTGATTGACCCTAATTTAAGATTTATCCATTATTATTATTAGTCATGGAGAGACAATCTTATCATTCGGATTTAACTGACAATAGGCTTTAATTGACATTTCATTAAAGCTACAAGTTTAATGATCATAACAAGTACAGTAACTTTATACAATATGCAGATTTTTTAAAGGAATAATTTTGAGAGTTATTTAATTGAAGACAAAAGTCAAACTAATCATCATACAACCAGGTTATTTTTATAATATATCTTTTGCTCCACAGCTGTAAGAGAAGACAGAATGCCTGGTGGTCGAAATTCTGGAGCAGTCTATAATCTGTATAAGGTAAATTATATTTATCATAACTAACTAATAATAATAACTATTACTTTACCAGGTATAATTAGAGTTACTATAATTTATGTTATTAATTTTGTATATGAAGACAACAAGATGTATTGAAATATGAAGATGAATGCTGACAATAACAAGAACAACAATATATCCAGAAGGGATGAGAGAATTGTGTTGTGAATCTACCCGAGGGAACTGTGACACAAATGGAAAGACAGTTAACCTGTAAATTCTTACAAGATAAGACACTACTCAATGCATTTTGCTTTTCATTGTGATATTTGGTAAAGTACACTGACAGTCTCATGTGTCATTATCTGATTTTTTTTTTATTAATTGCTAGTGTAACAGATAGTATCCTTCATCATGATATGAATTGTGTACTGTGGTTTGCTGCAAGAACTATTTCGACTAATCCTTGGAGCCAGTGGCTGGTTTCTTGTAGGTGTCTGAGGTACAAGCAACCTAAAGGACTTGTGGTGAGGGTTTACACACCTTGTTAGCAATTAAGCTTAGACACTAAATGGAGAAAATGGAAAAAGGTAAGGTGACAACAGCCTAGCACGCTCTTCGTCTTTGGCTTTCAATGCTTCAGAAGTCACTTTTTGTGTTCATTGTGGTATGATGTTTAAAAGACGTATCCTGGTGATACACAACAGCCTTTGTCATGAGACCACACCAGACCTGGTTGTTGAAACCACACTGGTTGGCCACAAATAAGCTTAAGAACCATACACGATTTTCTTTCCTGCAGCATAAAATAGTTTTCATTGTCCCACCCCTAAAGGGAGGTGCCTCGATGCCAGTGAGGGGATTTTGATCCAAGGAACTGGATTCATCCTCCCTTTCCTTAGATAGAACCTGAATGCTTCCCATTCCTCAGGTGGTATATGACCCCTGTGGATTTAGATTTTCCCCAATTAAAATAAAAATACATTTTTTTTTCCAGTTGCATGACAAAGTTCCCACATATCATGTCAGGGAATTTGATGATTAAAACTATGCATATATTTCCTTTAAACTTGGAGAAGTATATAGTGTGCCATAGTTATTAGTGTTCTCTCATGAGACCAGGAAGACAAAGGTACAAAGTGACACGCTTGAAAATAAATAGAGGCCATTGAGGAAAAAGAGTAAGATTATTACCTTATTGAGGAATAACAGAGCATAATCTCTAAGGTTTGTTCCAACCCCACAATAAAACTGTGGCATATAATATTTCAAAAGTATATTTTTTACACAACTTTAGTGAATAATTATTTTCTTGAATGATTACTGTAAAGAAATGCTGGCCATTAGAGCAGGAAGCAATTTCTCCATGACCACCTGTCCTATGTGCAAAGTGTTTTTATTCCAAAACATTTATTTGTGGAAAAATTTTCTGACCTACCAGAATAACTAATAATTAAATAAAAGTGCATATTTTCCCAGCATTGGATGACCCTTGAGGGTTTAGCATAATCCATGAATATAACAATAATACAGTAATCCAATTTTCAACACACAAGAGAGAACACTAATAACAGCCAGCTCAGCATGGAAGCACTTAATTCTTTTTATGATGTTTCAAATGCTTTCAAATTATTATTATTATTATTATTATTATATGACTAACTGTTCACAAGATAATGTACTTGTAGTAATATTTCACCATATTAGCTTTAGAGAAGCCATTGTCCCTTTGTGTGTGTGCATGTTGCAGTAAAACTTTGATGGAATATACATGTAGTGGAAATATAGTAAAATTCAATGCTGCTTGATGATTTCTATTAAAGACAGCTAAAAATCACAAAATTGTGTAAGTGGTACAAAGAAGATATACTGTATAATCATTTACACGGGTGCGTGTGTGTTTGTTTTATTATTCTGATATATATTTAAATTATTATAGGTAGTAGGTTGGTAGACAGCAACCGCCCAGGGAGGTACTACCGTCCTGCCAAGTGAGTGTAAAACGAAAGCCTGTAATTGTTTTACATGATGGTAGGATTGCTGGTGTCCTTTTTTCTGTCTCATGAACATGCAAGATTTCAGGTACGTCTTGCTACTTCTACTTACACTTAGGTCACACTACACATACATGTACAAGCACATATATACACACCCCTCTGGGTTTTCTTCTATTTTCTTTCTAGTTCTTATTCTTGTTTATTTCCTCTTATCTCCATGGGGAAGTGGAACAGAATTCTTCCTCCGTAAGCCATGCGTGTTGTAAGAGGCAACTAAAATGCCGGGAGCAAGGGGCTAGTAACCTCTTCTCCTGTATATATTACTAAATGTAAAAGGAGAAACTTTCGTTTTTCCTTTTGGGCCACCCCGCCTCGGTGGGATACGGCCGGTGTGTTGAAAGAAAGAATATTTAAATTATAAATAGAATCTTTCTTGATCAAGGTTCTACTGTATCTTGTCTTTCTCTGGGGGTATGGATATGTATTTTTAAATATTGATATTGTACTTTAAAAAGTAATTGTAAAGATTGCTATGTATCTTTAAAATGACATGTGTTTAAAGAGAATAATGCTCTTTAAAATTATCTATACAACAAAAATTGTAATAGTTTAAAATCTTGTATATTTGAAGTGGTATGGTAAAAACTCTCACCAAACCTGCAAAGCTTAATTTAAAGGCTTGAGTGTGGCACTGCATGGAGCACTATATAGGCATAAGCCACGCTTAATATTAAAGGAGCAAAACTATAATATTAAGTTGTTAAAAACACTTTCTGCTACTATTTTACGTTTGTATGTATTGTAAGATTTTATTGTAGGCATTTTTACTTAATAGCATATTTTCATAGTTTCACCATATCAGCTATTAGAGTTTAAACGTAACTTGTCGTTTGAAATATTCTTGAATATGTGGTATAATGGTATTATTTCTAATAGGTAAAGTACAAAAAGAAGAATAAAAAGAATGGTCAGATAAAGCAAGGAAGTAATTCTCCTGAGAAGAAAATGGTTCTGGATCCACTTATGATGGCTGGAACAACATCCCTTACAAGCACATCTTTACCAATGCCTATTTCTAGCCCCCTCGCATCTCCACCAGTCACGTCGCCCATCCCAAGTACTCTCAATAGTGGGCACATTCTAAAAGCTGCACTCACCAATCCATCGGAGGTAATTTATATATACTGTACTGTGTATAAATGCACAATATAAAAATTTATATATGTATACACATACACACCTGCATACATTATGCATGCATTCATACATAACTACATATGTAATATAGCTCCTGGGGGAGGTGCCTTCATACTAGTAAAAGGCTCTTGATTCATGGAACAGGATTTACCCCTCCTCTTCCTTGAATTGAGCCCGAGTGCCTCCCAGGGTGAAGCTCTAAACCCCTAATGAAAGTGCTTTCCTCCTGATTAAAATATAATGTACAATGTATATAATTGGTATATAGATACTCTTATTATCATCATTAATTTCATTGTGAAAGACAAACCTTTTTTAAAATTAAAATACATACTGTAGTAAGATCAGAGATAATTTCTTCCAAATCTGAGAACTACATTTATAAAATCAGCTTTCTCTCTTTGTGCCAGGTGGCCCACTTTAGGCAAAGGATAGACAGCACGGTATCTTCATCAAGAGAGCGTGTTATACCATACCATGTTGCCCAAGCTATGATTCGTATGCTAATAGAATGTGATGACTTTGAAGACATTGCCACACTGAAGGTAAATGAAGTCAACAATAGAGCTTTCTTTTCACTTATAAAATATGTACTACATATTATTTTCCTTAATAACTTTAGAGCCTACTTTTCACTTTTAAAATATCTTTTCTTTTCCTTAGTTTTTTTTTTTTTTTTCATTCGATATACTTTAGATTTTGCTGCTGAAGCAGCTAGTTTATTGTACATCCCATATCCATCCTGTGGACAGAAGTGCAAGAGCATATGGATACACAAAAAAAACCTAAACAGGCCCTAAAAAAGTTTACAGGAGTACATCTGGATTTACATCTACAGTTCATTTATCTGTTGCAAGCAAATTTACAAACTTTGCTTAATAGTTGTTAGAAATTTTAGGTGTGCATTGATACATACCAGGGAGCACTTCGAGAAGTTGGAATATCAAGTTTCCAAAGAAGGTTGTAGGGATTCAGCTAAAAGTAAAGAAATACCAATACGTATTTACATATTAGAATAGAAATTATTACTGAAGTTGCCACAAATACCAAAATATACAAACTGTATATCAAGGAAATATACAGAAACTTAGGTACATATGCAGTAACAAGATGAAAGAAATGTTGATACTCGCAGCCCAAGAGATGCATGCTTATACTGTGAGAGGAACATTGTCACTTTGGAAGTGATTGCTGCTACAACAATCCATTAATGTGGAAAACTTCAGTTGATGAAATACTGATGCTTACATTGTCATGTGATAGGCAAGGAATAAGAAAATGCTTGCACCAAATATTTCCAGACTTTTTGGGCAAGGCAGTGAGAGAATGCACAGAAAGCTGCAAGATGCCAGAATGTGCAGGACGAGTAAATGACATTTGGGTAAACAAAATTCATTATATAAACAACTTACAATTGCAGTACTATACCCATTAATGTTGCTGTAACTATTGGTAGTAGATGGAGCAAAATTGATTATATGCATAAGAGCAAGATGGAGAAGTAATAAACTCAAATTGGAAATGTGCTGTATTTCTAAAATAGTAACACACAAGGCCTAAAAACAAAAAAATTCCTTTTATAAATGGTATTTTTATAAATCTAGGTAGTAGGTTGGTAAACAGCAACCACCCAGGGAGGTACTACCGTCCTGCCAAGTGAGTGTAAAACGAAAGCCTGTAATTTTTGTACATGATGGTAGGATTGCTGGTGTCCCTTTTTCTGTCTCAAACGTGAAAGATTTCAGGTACATCTTGCTACTTCTACTTACACTAGGTCACACTACACACACATGCACAAGCATATATATACATACCCCTTTGGGTTTTCTTCTATTTTCTTTCTAGCTCTTGTTTATTTCCTCTTATCTCCATGGGAAAATGGAACAGAATTCTTCCTTCAGAAGCCATGCGTGTCGTAAGAGGCGACCAAAATGCCAGGAGCAAGGGGCTAGTAACCCCTTCTCCTGTATATATTACTAAATTTAAAAGGAGAAACTTTCGTTTTTTCTTTTGGGCCACCCCACCTCAGTGGGATACGGCTGGTGCGTTGAAAGAAAGAAAAGAAATTTTTATAAATGCAGTGTTGAGAGCTTTTGCAAAAGCATGCACTCGATCTTACATGCACACTGAAATCTAGAAGCATGCAGATATTACAATTCAAGTGACCCTCTGAACTGCGTCATCCCCTACTCGTGCAGGTACTGTACCTCCTACTTCCAGGACTCAAGTTTGGCTAACCAGTTTTCCTGAATTCCTTTATGTTACCTTACTCATACTCTAACAGCATGCCGAGCCATAAAAACCATCATACAGATCTGAAACGGTCACGCAAGCCTGCTAGATGATCGAACCCTCGGGCTCGAAACCTCCTTTACCCCCCTTCCACCAACCCTTCCTGGGAGTACCCCTGTCCCTGATTGATATACCCTCTTGGTCTTCCTATTCTGCTCCACCCTTTCTAAATGCCCAGACCACTTTAAGAACCCCTCCTCAGCCCTCTTGCTGCAACCTTTAAAACCTATGCCTATGCCTCAGCCCCATACAAGAGTGTTGGGAGCACTATACTCTGGTACATTCATCCTTTTGTCTTCATAGATAAACTTCTTTCCACAGATTCCTCAACACACCACCAACCTTTTTCCCTCCTCTAGTCTATGATTCAACTCATCTATCCTGTCATGTATGTTTGAGCTCCGTCAAATTTGCATTTCTCTAACAGTCCCAGAGGGGACAGTGTGTGGAAAATAGGTATGTGCAAACCATAAAGGGCATATAGTCATTTAAACCCCACATAAAGGAATAAGTGAACACTGAAGAGAAAAATATAGACTATAGTGTCAAGTGTAGAGTGCCAGCCTCAGAATAACAGCTGTTACTGTATGGTACCATTACAGGAAGTGGTTTGTGACTAGCAGCAAACATAGATCAATGAGGGAAAATAAGAAAGATAAAGGACTAGCACAAATTCCAAAAGCTGAAAAAAAGACTATTGTTAAAACAGCGGAAAAAATAAGATAAAATTATTTAGAAATAAGTGTAGAAGGGGAACGGGTGGGAACTAGGCTTAAAGGTGTTTACACACAGTGGGTCGTGTTATTATACACTGAAGGATTGTTATTTGTATCGTCATATGTAATATAGTGAGTGATGAGGGTACTGATGTTCAGTGGTATAGTGATCTTAAAATGTGGATTATAACAATCTTGCAAATTCCCAGTGCATAGTGTATAATATATGGAATGTATATATATGGTCACGCAGCACCAGCGAATTATTTCTCGACGTCAACAGAGAAGTGAATATTGAATTATCGTTTAAGTAATATAGTGAGGGATAAGGATATGAATGTGAAGTGATATAGTAATCTAAAATTGTGGCTAAGAGTAATCTTAATTAATCCCCAGTGCATTGTGTACAATATATGGTGTAATATATGGGAATAAATTATGGTCGTGTGGTACTAGTGAATTATTGCCAGATGTCGCCAGAGAAGTGGAAATAAACAACCGGAGGAGTATTAAACTATTGGCATAAGTAATAAAACAAGTGATAAGAGCATTGATGCAGGGATATAGCTATCTTAAATTATGGCTAATAACAAAGTGAACATAATGTAAAGGAAAAGGAATAAGCCAAATGACCTTACCATGTGAAGTGTCCCTCCCATAACCTCTTACCACCAATCCCCCCACCCAGTGAGAAGCCCCCCCCCACGCTCACCTGAACCACTCTCCTCTGACCACCCCCAACCAGCAGGAAGGGTCCCCTCTCACTCTCTCCCCTACCCTCTTTCCACAGATCCCCACTTCCCAGCACCTATAACAGTATGAGTCAGTGTTCAGCAACTCACTAAATGACAGCAAGGTAGAAAATGCAGAAACATTTTTCACCTCAGCAGAAGGCCACACAGACCAATTAACTGACAGTACAAATCCCATAGATTTCGAAAAAGAAATGGATAACAAGACCACTTAATCAGCACCTGGACCAGATTCATGGAATGCACTATTTATAAAGAAGCGCCAAGTACCACGAGCATGAGCCCTCAGTATTCTTTGGAGAAAGAGCTTAGATCTAGGTGATAATTAAACAGCAGATTTAGGTGAAATACCAGAAGCCTTAAAGAGTGTAGACATATCTCCTTTGCATAAGGGAGGTAGCAGAGCACTAGCTAAAAATTACAGACCAGTAGCCCCAACTTCTCACATAAAAATCTTTGAAAGAGTGATGAAATGGCAGATTACAAATTTCATGAACCAGCACAACCCAAACCAGCATGGTTTTAGAGCAGGGCGATCATGCCTGTCACAAACCATACCACTGGCGGGGATAGAACCAGCGATCTGAGAGTCATAAAATTCCAGACTGACGCGCTAGCCACTAGGCCAGCATGTCAGTCTGGAATTTTTTGACTCTCAGATCACGGGTTCTATTCCCGCCTGTGGTATGGTTTGTTTGCAATCATGTCATTACGATTTCTTAAGTCATGCCTGTCACAGCTGCTGAACCATTATGACAGAATTATGGAGGCATTGGAAGACGACCAAAATGCAGATGTGATTTACACAGATTCTGCAAAGGCATTTGACAAATGTGATCATGGAGTGATAATGCACAAAATGAGGGCCATGGGCATTATGGGGAAGGTAGGCAGATGGATTTTCTGGTTCCTAACACACAGAACACAAAAATTAGTAGTAAACAGAGCAAGATCCAGCATCAATGAGGTAAAAAGCTCAGTGACAAGGCACTGCCTTGGCACCCCTGCTGTTTCTCATCCTCATAGCAGACATAGATAAAAACACCCATCACACTTTTGTATCATTTGAAGATGGCAGTAAAATAAGCATGAAAGTCACTAGGGTAGAGGACACTCAAAAAGTACAGGAAGACACAAGCAGGGTTTTCCAGTGGGCAGTGGAGAACAACATGATGTTCAATGGTGATAAGTTCCAGCTGCTTAAGTATGAAAAGAATGAAGAGCTCAAAAGGAATACTATATACAAAATTCAAGAGGGTCACCAAATAGAATTAAAGGAACATGTAAAAAAAAAAAAAAAAATCCTGGGAATAATTATGTCAGCTGACCTTTCTTTTAAAGACCATAACAAGACAAAGTTCATGAGAGCAAGGAAGATGACGGGGTGGGTATTGAGAACTTTCAAAACAAGGGAAATACAGTGGTACCCTGAGTTTCGAACAGCTCCCAACTCGAACAATTATGTAAGTGTATTTTTGCAAGTGCTTTTGTAAGTGTATTTTTGGGGGTCTGAAACGGACTAATCTAATTAAGACTATTCCTTATGGGAACAAATTCATTCGGTATCGGCACTCCAACAGCCTTCTGGAGCGAATTAAGTTCGTAACTCGAGGTACCACTGTAATGCCGATGGTGACACTCTTCAAATCGCTAGTGCTCCCTCATTTAGAATATTGCTCAGTGCTGATGGCCCCATTCAAAGCAGGAGAAATATCAAAGCTGGAACAAATACAGAGATCGTTTATGGCTCACACTGAACCAGTAAAGCACCTAAATTACTGGGAATACCTTCAAGTTTTGAACATGTGCTCACTGGAGCAGAGGAAAGAGAGATACATGATAATATGTACCTGGAAAGTACTTGAGGGCTTGGTCCCAAATCTGGACACTGCCATAACAACATACTGGAGTGAGAGATATGGAAGGAAGTGCAAAATAAACCAAGTGAGGAGCAGGGGTGCAGTGGGGACAATAAGGAAACACTATATCAACATCCAGGGTCCCAGACTATTCAACATCTTACCAGAAGATATCAGAAACATGGCTGGAACAAGTGTAGAAACCTTCAAGAGGAAACCGGACAAGTATCTTCATCAGGTGCCAGATTCACCAGGCTGTGATGGATATGCAGGGCAGCAGGCCTCCAGCAGCAACAGTCTGGTTGACTAGGCAAGCACCAGATGAGCCTGGCCTATGGCTGGGCTCAAAGTAGTGAAACTCTCGAAATTCTTTGAAGGTATATCAAAGGTAAAGGTAGACTCATCTGTAGACATGTCCACCCCACAGATTTCTGAATATATTCACTTTTTCCACACTCTCCCTCTCCTGCCTTAATATCCGATCTCATATTGCCTTTACTTTTTGTTGCTACATTGCCTTTCTGTGCGTGTTCACTTTTAGCTTCCATCTTTTGCCCCTTCTCTTCAGAATCTCCCAAAAGAAGTGTCATAAGCAAAGAGCAACTGTGATAATTCCCACTTTGAATCAAATTCATTTGTTTATTATTAACACATTGGCCATTTCCCACCAAGACAGGGTGGTCCAAAAAAGAAAAACTTTCATCATCACTCACTCCATCACTGTCTTGCCAGAGGCATGCTTACACTAGTTATAAAACTGCAACATTAAAACCCCTCATTCAGAGTACCGGCACTGTACTTCCCATCTCCAGGAATCAAGTCCGGCCTGCCAGTTTCCCTGAATCCCTTTATAAATGTTACCTTGCTTACACTCCAACAGCACGTCAAGTCCTAAAAACCATTTGTCTCCATTCACTCCTACCTAACATGCTCACACTTGCTGGAAGTCCAAGCCCCTCACACACAAAACCTCCTTTACCCCCTCCCTCCAACCTTCCCTAGGCCGACCCCCTATCCCGCCTTCCTTTCACTACAGATTTATACACTCTCAAAGTCGATCTGTTTCGTTTCATCCTCTCTACATGTCCAAACCATCTCAATAACCCCTCCTCAGCCCTCTGGATAGCAGTTCTGGTAATCCCACACCACCTCCTAATCTCCAAACTTCGGATTCTCTGCATTATATTCACAACACACATTGCCCTCAGACATAACATCTCCACTGCCTCCAGCCTTCTTGTTGTAACATTCACAACCCATGCCTCACACCCATACAAGAGCATTGGTATTGCTATACTCTCATACATTCCCCTCTTTGCTTTCATGGATAAAGTTCTTTGTCAGATTCAGTATCATTTTAATCCAATAACTCTCTCAACACTAGCATACATTTCTTTTTCAACCCATTTACAAATCTATAAATATATTAAATTATGGTGACAGTACACAACCATGTCTATAGCCTACTTTTATTGGAAAACAGTTCCCTACTCTCCTACATACCTTAACCTGAGCCTCACTATCTGCATAAAAACTACTACTATTAGTAATCTACTACTTATTCCATTCAACACATGCCACACTGCTCTTATCCATCCTATCATATGTGACAAAAAGTTCCTTTATCTAGGTATTGTTTGCTTGTTTACTTCATTGGCATATACCCGCATTCTGAAAGGGTGGGGATGTTGCAGTCAGATGGTAATCTGAACTGTGATATCACACTTCTTGAGGGACTGATAGAATGAATGATGGTCAATGTGTACCAGCCTTAGTGAGAGACAACTGTTGAGGTAAATAAAAATAAATGTGCATAAATAAATGCATATATAAACAGTACAGCCTCTCCTCACTTAACAACGGGGTTCTGTTCCTAAGAGTAGGTTGGTAAACGAATTGGTCGTCAAGTGAGAAGCATACTAAAATGGTAGTGGGTTTGTGTCAGCCATCTTTAGAATTTTTTTTAATGTCACCTTTGCACCATTTACAACACATTTAGTACATTTTTAAATGTTTATACAGTAGTGTACTGTATACTGTAATAAAAAGAATAGAGGAAATCAGCTCTAATATACAATACTTAGGTTTGCAAATTGGTTGGAGAGCTGGTCGTAAGTCCGAGTAGTTGGTAAACGAGTACGTTACTAAGTGAGGAAAGGCTGTGTACCATATTTTGTGGCCTATTAGATTCATTTTTTTTTCCATAAAATGTCTCCAAAAACCACCCTGCATCCTATAAACTGAAGGTCTGTGATGGGAGCTATAAGTTTGGGGTGTGGGGTGGGCTGTAGCTCTCCCAGTTATGTCTGATGCCAAGCCATTGAAACTAAAACAGTCTTATTAGCCGCATCTTTTAAGTAGCAAAATGAGGTATATGTATGTAAAATTTTGTTGATATGTTTGTAATTGTAATTTAAGTCTATGGTATACTAAGTTCAGCTTGCCAAAAATAAAATACATGCACTGCCTGAAGGGAGAGAAATATACGTATATAAAATTCTTTTTCAGAACCTGGATGACTTATTAGACCACAAGAGTGACTTGTCAACCAAATTATGCCAACTGGGTGACTCCATATCCATAAAGCTGGTGCAATGGACCAAACGTCTTCCCTTCTACCAGGAACTACCTGTAGAAGTCCATACACGACTGCTCACTCATAAGTGGCATGAGCTCTTGGTACTTACTACGTCTGCTTATCAGGCTATATATGGCCTACAGAAGCTGGGGTCAAGATCTTCAGATGGCACTGAGGCAGAGTTCCATCAGGAGGTAAGCAGCATTTTTAGAAATGCATTTACTGTAGTACATTAACATTTTACTAGCCACAAGAACATTGTATAGATATTTATTTGACATTAGACTAAAGGACCCCAATGGAAATAAGTCACTCTGTCTGACTTTTTTATAGGTAGTAGGTTGGTAGACAGCAACCACCCAGGGAGGTACTACCGTCCTGCCAAGTGAGTGTAAAATGAAAGCCTGTAATTGTTTTACATGATGGTAGGATTGCTGGTGTCTTTTGTCTGTCTCATAAATATGCAAGATTACAGGTATGTCTTGCTACTTCTACTTAGGTCACACTACAGATACATGTACAAGCGTATATATACATACCCCTCTGGGTTTTCTTCTATTTTCTTTCTAGTTCTTGTTCTTGTTTATTTCCTCTTATCTCCATGGGGAAGTGGAACAGAATTCTTCCTCCGTACGCCACGCGTGTTGTAAGAGGCAACTAAAATGCCGGGAGTAAGGGGCTAGTAACCCCTTCTCCTGTATATATTACTAAATGTAAGAGGAGAAACTTTCGTGTTTCCTTTTGGGCCACCCCGCCTCGGTGGGATACGGCCGATGTGTTGAAAGAAAAGTCTGACTTTTTTACTTTTTTGGGTTATCCTAGGTTCTTTACACATAGGCTGCTATGTATGATAATCTATGTAACTATTTGTGTATACCTGAAAAAACTAACTTAACAATGTAAATTACTTGATCCACTTTCATAACCTTTTAACTGTGTCCAACTTACCAGTATGCAGGTGATGACTGTGCAACTGATGTACTAGTATGCACAATTTTTTGTATCTTCAAGTATCCCACCTGCCAACATTATTTTTTACTTCAGCTCAACTAATTGGGTCTTGTGTAACTTCCTCTTGCCTTTAAAAAAAAATCTAAGATTAGGTGGGTCTATGCAGTGCAGCATGGGGTAACAATGCCTAACTAGCATAAGAAAACAATGAAACTAGGACGTGTTGTTCTACCATCAGCTTTCCTAACAGTAAATGGGGTGCAGAACTGCCAGGAAGATGCCTTAGTCAAAATTTATTGAAATTTCATGATACCAACAGTGGGATTAGGCCAATAAATGTATTATGCAGATTTAACTTAGGATAACCTAATATAGTCTAACAGTGTGACTTAATTCCATGTTTCCATAAGTATTACACCTTGAAACATTTGTAATGTGTTTTACCAGAGGTCTGGAAGGCACACAGGTGTTACGGACACAGAAATTACAGTATGTTTATTTAATCCAGGATATTCTCTCAAGCCTTAATACAATATACAACATAAATAATTTATCTAGGATAACACAATACAGTGGACCCCCGGTTAACAAACTTTTTTCATTCCAGTAGTATGTTCAGGTGCCAGTACTGACCGAATTTTTTCCCATAAGGAATATTGTGAAGTAGATTAGTCCATTTCAGACCCCCAAACATACATGTACAAACGCACTTACATAAATACACTTACATAATTGGTCGCATTTGGAGCTGATCGTTAAGCGGGGGTCCACTATATAGTCACACTGTATAACTTATCTCAAAGCTTTGAGGAATATTACACCTAGAAATAATTGCAACAGAGTTAGAAGGCCAAAGCAGTAAAAAACAGAAAAAACAATTATCTGCTCTAATTTATATTGTATATTCTATGTCGAGCAATATCAGGCTATGCATTTCCCCATTTTCTAATTACTAAAACATCGTGGAATATATCTGATATCATAAGAGTAGTGTTAAGCATTAAAACCAATAAAAACTGAAAAATATTCATGATCTGGCATCAATAAATTGTAAAACATAAATAAATATCGCTGACACATTTACACTGCTGTTGCCAACACTTGATCATTTTTTTGCCAACTTCAACATGCCTTAAAATCTTAAGCTTTTATCAGACTCCACTTATTTTAGTCTTGTTTGATTCAATAAAATGGACTCCCAGTCCATAAGTAAAAAAAAAAAAAAGAGAGAGTTATTATATTTTTTAAAATCTTGCCATACACTGGAATTTAAATTTCTGGGTATGCCACAGTTAAGAGGTTAAGAAACCAGTCTCTTGGTGGGTCAATTTATCATGGTAGGTAGTGACACAAAAGCAACTTTTATAAACCTCTGCATGCCATCAAATAGGAACATACTTTTATAGTTATGCAATAGATTTACAAGTTTCAAAATACCTGAGTTTTTACTTTTTACCTTGACCTCACTACTGCTAGTGTGGTAATGTGCATGCCAGAAAAAAAAAAAGTCCCATAAATTTCCATGGTATATCTTGCTACATCTACTTACATCACACTGCACATCCACGTATACATGTATGTATATGTATACACATTTATCTGAGTTTTCTTAAATAGTTCGTGTTCTTTATTTCCTTTCATCTCCATGCAGAAGTTGTAAAGAATCCTTCCTCAGTAAGCCATGTATGTTGTAAGAGATTAAAATGCTGGGAGTGGGGAGGCTGCTAACCCCTTCCTGTATAAATTACTACATGTAAAAAGAAAAACTTTCATTTTTCTTTATAGGTCACCCTACCTTGGTGGGAGATGGCCAGTGCAGTTAAAAAAAAAAATCTCCCAAAATAATTTGCCCAAGAAATAAATTTTTTTTGCCTAGGTTTGAATACCACATTTATATAAGAACTAAACTGTAGTGATTCCAACTTAAATAATGCTTTATTGGTCAATTTAGCAATGAAAACTATCTTAATTTTTAATTAAAGAGTCCCAACCAATTGGCAGAAAAAAAATTACCGTAGCCAGAGTATGATACTAAATGCAGTAAAGATTGCTTCATTAATGCCATCCTGATGGGAGAAAACCATTTTGAAAAGTACAGTGGAACCTTGAGTTTAATCCATTCCGTGACCTAGCTCATAACTCAATTTGCTCGTACATCAAATCAATTTTCCTCATTTAAATTAATCTGTCCCAGCACCAGGACAAAATATTTCAATATAATGCTATCAACCCTACAAATTATTTATCTTTAACAATTCATCTAATATGACATAATAAACAATATAATTAGCAGAGAAACATGATATAGACTCTAGAATGAATAAAATAGGCCATAATATGATGAGTGATGATACTGGTGGAAGCAGCGTCAGCGTTTCATCCTTTTTCTATCGCTTAATCACTTAACTAAGTTGTTACACTCGTAATGCTACTTTATCACTGAACTTAACTGATACAATTTGCTTTAATTCCATGGAAATCGTCCTCTTTTTTTCTTCTCAGCACTGTCTCTTACACTTACTTTCTTAGAACCCATGGTTAGAAAACAGAAATTTGGCCAAATGACTGCAAAAAAATGCAAGCAAGCATGAGAGAACTGCTCCCATGGCGATGTAAACATGCTGACTCCTTACTGGATGTTTTGCCATCAGCTGCGCCAACTAGTGTCAGCATTCTGAATTATTATTATGTATTACATATGTATCATTATTATTATGTATCATAATTATTATTATTATTCTTTCTTTCAACATACTGGCCGTATCCCACCGAGGCGTGGCGGCCCAAAAGCAAAAACGAAAGTTTCTCCTTTTACATTTAGTAATATATACAGGAGAAGAGGTTACTAGCCCCTTGCTCCCGGCATTTTAGTCGCCTCCTACAACACGCATGGCTTACGGAGGAAGAATTCTGTTCCACTTCCCCATGAAGATAAGAGAAAATAAACAAGAACAAGAACTAGTAAGAAAACAGAAGAAAACCCAGAGGGGTGTGTATATATATGCTTGTACATGTATGTGTAGTGTAACCTAAGTGTAAGTAGAAGTAGCAAGACGTACCTGAAACCTTGCATGTTTATGAGACAGAAAAATGGACACCAGCAATCCTACCATCATGTAAAACAATTACAGGCTTTCGTTTTACACTCACTTGGCAGGACGGTAGTACCTCCCTGGGCGGTTGCTGTTTACCAACCTACTACCTAGGTATTATTATTATTATTGTTAATTTAGGGAATTGAAGCTCACTTATTATTATTATAATATTATTATAGTTAGAATATCCTAGGTAGTAGGTTGGTTGACAGCAACCACCCAGGGAGGTACTACCATCCTGCCAAGTGAATGTAAAACGAAAGCCTGTAATTGTTTTACATGATGGTAGGATTGCTGGTGTCCTTTTTTCTGTCTCAAACATGCAAGATTTCAGGTACGTCTTGCTTCTTCTACTTACACTTAGGTCACAACACGCATACATGTACAAGCATATATATACACACCCCTCTGGGTTTTCTTCTATTTTCTTACTAGTTCTTGTTCTTGTTTATTTCCTCTTATCTCCATGGGGAAGTGGAAAAGAATTCTTCCTCCATAAGCTATGCGTGTTGTAAGAGGCGACTAAAATGCCAGGAGCAAGGGGCTAGTAACCCCTTCTCCTGTATAAATTACTAAATTTAAAAAGAGAAACTTTCGCTTTTCTTTTTGGGCCACCCTACCTCGATGGGATATGGCCGGTTTGTTGAAAGAAGAAGTTATAATAATAATAATACCTACTTAATAATAATTATAATAACGAGAGCTTCAGTACGCCACCAACTCGGTGCACTGTTTATCTCAGTGTGGGAGTATTTCTCTTACGCTTTGCTTACATTTTTTAGTCAGTTGGCCAAATTTTGTTTTTCTAAGCATGGGTCCTAAAAACAAGTAAGTGTAAAGGACAGTGCTGAGAAGAAAGAGGATGATTTCCATGTAATTAAAGCATGAAATCATAGATAAATAAGCTAGGTGTGCAGGTTTTGGGTTGAGGGGGAAGCAGGGGAAGCTGGCTCGTAACTTGGATGTTGAATCGTAACTCAGAGCAAAAAATCGACCCAGCGACGGCTCGCATCTCAAAAAACTCGTACGTTGGGACACTCGTAAGTCAAGGTTCCACTGTACTACAGGAGGGCCACACTTACACAGCAGGTTAGGTTCTGGGCTACTGCTGTAAAACGATTATCACTGTAAAGTGAAACATAGCTTTTTTTTTCACTTTCAAATGCGTATAAAAGCTGATGATATGTTTACACTATCATTAAGTGAGCAGTAGAGCTAGGACTAAAAAATGAATATATGGCACAAACATTACTTAAAATAGTTTTGCATTTACCTTATAGTGAGTAGTGAATATATTTATTGTAGGTAGCCTGAATAAATGAAAAATAGGTATATAGTGGTACCTCGAGTTTCGAACAGCTCCCAACTTGAACAATTATGTAAACATATTTTTGTAAGTGCTTTTGTAAGTGTATTTTTGGGGGTCTGAAACGGACTAATTTAATTTACATTATTCCTTATGGGAACAAATTCGTTCAGTATGGCACTCGAACAGCCTTTTGGAACGAATAAAGTTCATAACTCGAGGTACCACTGTAACTGAAAACTGCTTTATTAGTGAAATACTATAAAGCAAAGTGCTGTAAAGTGGGGCCCTCCTGTACACTACAGTATGGTACTTTAAAAACTTGGTTTGTGATGAATAATTTCTAAGTAATTTGAGAAAATCTCTCACACTGTTGATTTTTTTTTTTTTGTGCAGAATAATGTAACTGGGAATTCTCTATACAGCATTAAAAATAATAATTACATATTCTTAACAGGTATCCAACAACCTCTGCACATTGCAGACCTGTCTAAATTCTATGATGGGGAGACCTATCACCATGGACCAATTGCGACAGGAGGTTGGTGTGATGGTAGAAAAAATTACTCATGTCACACTAGCACTTCGCAAAACAAAGATACAAATTGAAGAATATGTCTGCCTGAAAGTCATTGCCATGTTAAACCAGTGTAAGTTTGCCGAGTTATTTTTGAATATACATTAACATAATCCCTATAATAAGCTGAATAGGATGAAAAAGAGCATGTATAAACCTGGGGTGGAAGGAATGAGGGGTAAGATTCATCCCAGGAATGGAGGCAAAGATGAGTTTTAGGGGTTTGGGCATACTAGATAGGAGTGAATGGATGTGCTGTTGAAATGTGGACAAAGGGACTTGGGGAAACCAGTTAGCTGGACTAGAGTCCTGGAGGGGGTAAGGGTAGCACCTTCACTCTGAAACAGGGGTTAGGATGTTGAAGTAAAGAGGATAATCTGAATTGTGATGTTGGCACATTTCTGGCAAGACAGTGATTGAATGAATGACAGTGAGTTTTGTTGGTTCCCCAGCCTCAGTGGGAGATGGGTGGAGTGTTAAAAATAAACATAGTATTTAATTTTGCCTTTACAAAATTTATATATAGTACACCGTATTTTTTTAATGTGTATAGTAATGTACTGTAATTTATTCATTTAAGACCTCCTAGTACTTACCGTACATCACAGCCATAAGGCAAACATTTTCTCTAGAAAAGCTTCTCTAAAATATGCCTTTCACTTATGAACACGATAGTATACTGTGGAAAAAAAAAAGAAATACCCAGTCAATATATACGTAGTTAAAGAATGTCTTCATATCATAGTCTACCCAAGTGTTACATAACTGAGATGTATTTCTATATAGTTTATCATTCTTACTTAAAGTTTGTCTCATTAAAATAGGTTATAAAATTAGCATCTCACTTTTTACCTCTCCTTGTTTTACGACTTTGTAATAGACATACTGTAATAAAAACTTAATAATATCCATACTTCAACACTGAAACAAGCTTCAAACATGTAAAATAATTTCAAATTGGCATGTTTATCTTGTTTGTAGCTTGCACTTTCATAGGGACAAAAAAAAAAAAAAACAGTTATGGAGAGGAACTTTATTGAGATGATTTGCTTCTTCAGCCACTACATAAGGATGCACAAAAAGCAAAGTTTTTCAAGTGTAGACAGGTGAGTGGCTAGGTTCCTGAGATCATTATGTGAATTGCAACATGAAATTGCAGGATAAGCCTGGTTGTGGACCGGGCTGCGGTGGCATTGATCCCCAGAATACCCTCCAGGTAGAATGCAGGTTGCCTACCAGTCCTCCTGAGGACCTGTTTATGCAAGTTGATCTGGGCTAAACTGAAAGTGTCTTGATTCTGTTGGATTGTATTTTGTGTATAAATTAGTGCATCTTCCAGGCATCTGATTCATTGTTTTATCCCTTTTCCTGACGACCTGCTGGGTGTTCTTTCAAAACATTAGGTGTGCAGTCTTGTCAAGTTGTATAACACAGATATTATTCGTGTTGAGAGTCCTGCAGGCAGTGTGTTCTTGCAACCTGATAGGCTACAGGAGGGTTCTTCCATGTATTTCTGGTCACAACTGCCACATGGAATAATGCAGACACCTGAGTTGTCCTAGTCCTGGCAGATGCCTTTTGCCTGGTCAAGTCTTTCAGGGTTGTTCTTGTCAAGGGTAGGTGTAATATATCTTGTGGTGTGGCCTGCAGAAGGATGAGTCTTCTATGCTGTTCTATGGTTTTGGTGAGGTGTAGATTTTGTGTGCACGATCCTTGGAGTTCTGGATAACGTGTGAGGGAATAACACCTGCATGATACACAGGGACAAGACCCCACACCTTATAAACAATTTGGCAGGTTTAGTGTTTAGTTTTGATTATAATAATAATACATAAACAAATAATTTTAAAGGGCTGGTAGGCCACCTGCAGTGCCCATATCTTGCAAATCACCTCAGGATCCTGGTCACTCACTCACTATGCTTCCATAAACTTACTTGTGCATCCCTGTGTATTGACTGAGGAAGCCTATTTCACAGGCAAAATGTCTCGATAAAGTTCCTCCCAGCAATTTTTTTTTCCTCCACTGTTGGCTTTGTGCAATTTACCTCCATCTACACTTTTAAATAGTATTTTACATTGTAATTTTTGTGTAGATAGCAGAAGGTGCAAAAGAAAATGTGCAGTGTGCAATAAGGACTTTAAATTACTGGTACCAAAAATCTTGATATTGAAAATAATTGACATGTGCTATATTAAATAATCAGGATCAGAAGTATTTATAATTCTCTATTTTTGGGACAAAAAAAAAATTAAAAATTTTTTTTAAGTGTAAGCAAAGGAAAAGCGCTACCAGAAAAAACACTAGAAGTTTTCTTTGCAAACAGTGATAGATCACTGAAATGGTCTACAAGTGGATGCAATAAGTTTTACAACTACCAAAAGTTTTAAAAACTTTTAAGATAGTTTGAATACTAAAGATGGAGCACTACAAGCTAAGTTCAACTCCTGTAGCTACAAATAGGTAATTACATACAGTATTTGTGTAGTTTTTGTGTGAGTTTGTGACCATACAAGAATCTCTGTTTTGGTTAGAATTGTCTGCATCAAGGCAGGGAGCAACGAGCCATGTCTACATTGGTGAGAAGACATACTCCCTTACCAGAGGACAAGTTCATATAGGTTTTTCCTCCTTAGCAATGACTGCCTGAAATAAAAATGAAGTTGTAGAGATTATTCAAATATGATTCAGGTTCAAAACCTGAGACACTATTTTAAACAATAAAGATTGCTTATTATACAGCGGACTCAGTTTGCATGGGTTAGGCTCCTGAAATTGTTGCTACTTATAAGAAATCAAGTGTTAATAACACATGAGAAAAATGGGCTGTATTCTTGATGCTCCATGAAAAGCCAAGCATATTGTAAATTACCTATTTCATCAAAAACAAGGGTGTGCTAAAGTATCGGTGGGCATTGGCCAATTTCGGTGGTACCAATGTAAGTGGGAATCAGCTCATTATGATAGTATCGGCATCAGCAAAACAATTGGTATTGTCCCACCCCTAGTCAAAGTTTTTGATACCTTACACTAGATGTCACAATGTTGATGATGAAATGTGCAGACAATTATGGGCACAAAAAGTACAGCACATAAGTTTAGCCTAGGATAACCCATTAATGTCAAACTGTACATAAAGCTAAAAAAGAAAAGTTATGCAAAACACTATTTTCTTTCCGTACCTTAAATTCTGACTGCTGTTGCATGTTTATTTTGACATGAGTGGAAAGGATTGCTGTGGCCCTACTGGGCCAAGGCTGATGGCTGTGGATGATAGAATGAGTTGTCATCCACTGCTGCAGGGAGTTTTTGCACCACTGCATGTGCAGTGGCACTGCAATGTCTTTAATCACTCCTCAATTCAATGGCTGTATCTCAGATTTTAAATTTAGAGATTAAAAACATTTTGTATTTGAGTTCACATCCTGAAAAAAAGATGAGGATTATGGGAATAAAGAGTGGTTCTTAATGGTCAGGTACATCTCAACTTAGGGAATAAAATAAAAGTACAGGTTGATCATCACTAATCCGGCAATCAGTAATCTGGAACTAATTTTGGCTAGCACAACTTCAAATTTCCAGGGTTGCCACACAACCTGCCGCTACTTGCTACATAAATCATTCCAATTTCTTTTTCTCCATTTAATGTTATAACCTGCTCACTTTTAGCCCTAGCCATGGTTCCAACAAATGAAAGAAATGCTTCTTATTGTTTAAAGCACATACACTGTACATTGTCCATAAAAGATAAGGTGGCTTTGAAGCCACTGTTGTCGCCATGAACTCAGCTCAGCTCAGATAAGCTGTGACCGGTAAATTTGGGCCTACATATGAGAGAATAGGTCTGTGTAGTAAGCGTGCACTATATAAAAAAATCCTGCAGCACGCAGTGCATAATTAAGAAAAAAGGCAACTGTGCTTTTGGTGTAAAACAGTAATTTTGCGGTGTATTTTCGTATTGTATGGCTATATTCTCGTTTTTTTTATCTCATTTGATAGAATGGAAGATATGTTACAGAAATAGATATAATTTTGATTGGTTTCACACCAGAAAGTACCTTAAAATTGAGCTCAAATTAGCGGAAATGTTCGATTTTTGCCAATGTTCAAGAGTAAACAAATGACATCACTGTCCAATACATGTCCAACCCGCCAGTCTAATATGCACTCACGAATGGTTTGACATATACAATTATTGTAATAACTGTAATAATTTACTGTTATGCAGTAGTCTACATAACAGTAAATTTCCTATTTTTTTGTGTAAATAAATATTAAAAATGGAGAGCAAGCATAATATAAGAGGGGTCTGGAGATGTGACTAATGAACAGAGAAAATGTTATTTTAGTGCTAGGAATGTCTGCAATGTTTATTTTGAAATTGGTATCTTTTGAAATTTGTGTGAAATTGGCCAAACTGCCTATTTCTGACCACTTTATTAGGTAGTTGAAATAGGTGAATGGGAGGTTTCTTGTACTCGGTCGAGAGAATAAATGGAATACTAGCGAAATAGGTACGAGTTTGGTAGACTGGAACAATAGAATGGGCCAAAAATAGGGCATAAAGTGGGCAAACTCGCTGAACGTAAATATCGCCATTGAATTAAGTGTATTCTAACCTAGCCACTCTGTAATCCAGCAAAATCACTAATCCCAATGATGCCGGATTAGTGATGGCCAACCTGTACTGTAATTGATGAACCACTTGCTAAACAAGGCCTCACTCTCTGAGGGGTGCCAGATGTGATGTTGCCCTTGGTAAGGGTGGGTGTAATACATCCTGTAGTGTGGCAGTAGGAAGGATGTCTGTGTTCTTTGGTTTTGGCAAACAGAAGAGTTTGTGCATACTATCTGGTAAGACTGCCAAATAACAGGCAAAGTGCTTTTTTCTTCACCTTTCAAAGCACGTGGAGTCTGTGAGAAACCAACATGGGCTTAAAACTGCCTGATTCATTAGTATGCAGAAGCAAGCTAAAATGGCTCTTGACTACCTTACAGCTTGCCAATATAAATTCTAGATGGCAACTTCTTCCAAAATATGCCTGTCTCATCAGCATTAACATTTGCTCAGGCTTGTAGCCACCACTGGAGATAATTTCCTCCAACTGTGCAAGGAAATTTCTTGTAACAGCATGGTAAGCAGATGTACTTTTCCCACTTAATTTTATGTTATACATCCCACTGCACACTTTAAACCAGTGGAACCAGCCAGAACTAAACGAGCACTCTGCAGGCTTTCCAATATACTCACACTACCATATACTATGATAGGGTTTTTCCTTTACCAAAGGGCATCATGTGGGCTCCCTTTAGCATATCAATTGCTTCTTGTTACTTTGAAACAGGCATAGTTTCACACTTATTTTTCTTGTACCTTCAGCCATGGTTAATATCCCAGGACAAGTCAGCCTGATGAAAAGACTGAAAATGCAGATAAACATGAGAGTATGATACTGGTCACATTCAGAAGGCAACTGACTGTGTGGGTGTGTTGTTTAAACTGAGGCTTAGAGGGAAATTATTCCTCAACTAGTCAAAGGAGATTTTTGCAAATGACTTACAGTAATGGCCATAAAATTTAAATAGAATGTTATTAAAAGCTAAAATCACTGTTTTGCAAATTATGAGTCTAATCTCTAATGCATATTGAAATATAATTTGTCTAATACAAACAAAAATTACTTTAAATTGGCAAAGCCAGATTCTGGGAATTCTCAGGTTGATCCTATCTAGTGTTCAGATGAGGTGTCACACCCAAATCAAAGTTTTCTATTTACCTGGGAATTTGTGTTATCAGAATTGGTATAACTTGAGTGTTTACTGTGTAGAATTTATGGAAATTGGTGACAGCATTCATAGTTCATCTAATGAAAAAACTCTCAGCCTTCAGTGATGATGCTTGCTAATGAAAAGGATTACATAATTTTTTTTTACTGTGCTCTTAATATTGTACTTTTTACGAGTCTAGAATTCATTTACATAAAGTCTAACAAAAAATTTTAATGCTTCAATCTTAATATAATTTATTTCTTCTTGCAGCACGAATCAGCCATAAAGAGTTGGAAATAATTCAGGAACGTTATATGAGCTGCCTTCGGACCTTCTGTGAAACCCACTATCCCTCTCAACCCACCAGATTCCAGGACCTGCTAGTCAGACTCCCAGATGTAAGCTATTTAAAACTTAACTTCTTTCAGATATAAAAATGAGCCATTACATTTGCATATTATTACATTTATAAAAATTAAAAAAAAAAGAGAAACGGTACATATAATAACGGTAAGAAGACTATCCCTACTAGTGTTACTACTACTACTATTACTACTAAAACCATTCTTTCTACTTCTCCTCCACCCCCAGCTTCTCATCTATAGCAAACCTTCAATATAACAGACTAATAGGTGGTGTCCATTATACCAGAATGTTAAAAAATAGTTTAAAGTGCACATAAATACTCTACTGCATACCTAATATAGCACTGTATACAAAATTTACACATTGAAAATAAAGAAGTTAAAAGTACAATTTAACCAGTGGATTTTGCCTTTACAGCAAAGATTTGATAAAATTCACTAATAAGGGGGAGAGGGTACCTAATTTACCGAATATTCCAGTACAGTGAAACCTCGGTTTTCGTCTTTAATTCGTTCCAGAAAGTCTCGCAAAAACTGAATTCGGCAAAAACTGAAGCAATATTTCATATAAGAAATAATGTAAATCCGATTAATCCGTTCCAGACACCCAAAAGTATTAACAAAAATGCGTTTTATAGAGAATAACTATAGTTTTTACATACAGAAAACAATGAAAAATAAATATAAAGGACTTATGAAATGGATAAATGAACATTTAACATAACTTTTACCTTTATTGAAGACTGTTGTTGGTGTATGGAAGACGGCAAGGAGGGGAGAGGGAGGAGAGGGTATTGTTTGGATGGGTATCCCCTTCCATAAGGACTTCAGGTATCAATCCCCTATCCAGGGTCACTTCCCTTCTTTGTCTTTTACTGGCACTAGGACCAGCTTGAGAGTCACTGTACCCCTGTCGCACAAAAATATCTGTCCAGAGAGGTCTGTTTTTGGCGTCTCTTTAAGATTTGCCTAAAATGGGACAAGGCATTGTCACTGAACATGTTGCAGACACAGCTTCCAACAGCACAAAACTTTGTAACTTACTCCACTTTGCACATGTCCTTAATCACTGAAGAAGGCACGTTCTCCCCTCTCTCTTCCTCCTCCTCATCTGAAGCAATTCTATCATGTTTCTTGGAACTTTTTTTGGCTCCATGGTGGCTTATTTAGCAGTCACATTCAATAAACAAGCACAAAACAACAATGGATTATTAAGAAATGTTTCATATGAAAGCACAGCGTAATGTTCACTCAACGAGAAACAAAGCCAGACTGACTTAGAACACGTGCATGGGATGCTTTGTGTGGGCACAGGCAGGCGAACACACATGGTATGGCAAACAAAAATCGAGGTGATGAATGAAAACTGGGACAAAATTTTGATGGAAAAAGTCGTCAAAAACCAGGGCAAACGAAAACCAAAGTTCCACTGTATAATGAATGTTTCAATTAAGTGGATGCAGTCCTCTTAATTGATCATTTACGTAGCTGATATGGACATCACTCAATGAAACATACTTAGTCCAGTGTACTGATGGACTACCGGACATACTAAGAATAAACTAGAGTACTATGCAGTATTATCTGAAGTGGACCTGAAAAGAAAATGGGTTACAAGTGCAGAATAGTACAGTGCAACCTCTCCTCACTTAACGATGGAGTTCCATTTCGAAGACCACGTCGTTAAACAAATTCATTGCTAAGTGAGGAGCATACTACATTGGAACCTTTTTTTCAGCCGCAATCCATTCCAGAAGGTCGGCCTAAATTCGATACAATGTTTCTCATAAGAATTAATGCAAATACAATTAATCCGTTCCAGACACCCAAAAGTATTAACATAAAATACATTTTTTAAAGATTAGTTGTAGTTTTACATACACAAAACAATGAGAACTAAATAAAATAAATTGATGAACATTTATATCACTATTACATACCTTTATTGAAGACTCTTGTTGGCTTATGGAGAGAGGGAGAACTGATTATTGTTTGGAAGGGGAATCCTCCTCCAGAAGGACTTCAGGTATCAAAGCCCTTTCTGGGGCTACTTTCCTGCCTGCCTGCTACACTCCTTGCCTCCCTTCCACATTCCCTGCTACAATCCCTACATACCTGCTTACACTCCCTGCATGCCTGCTACACTCCCTGCCTGCCTGCTACACTCTATGCATGCCTGCTACACTCCTTACATACCTGCTTACACTCCCTGCATGCCTGTTACACTTGATGCATGCCTGCTACACTCCCTGCCTCCCTTCCACACTCCCTGTTTCCCTGCCACACTCCCTTCCTCCATGCTACACTCCCTGCATGACTGCTACACTCCCTCCCCTCCATGCTACACTCCCTCCCTCCATGCTACACTCCCTGCTATGCTTCCTCCCTCCATGCCTGCTATGCTTCCTCCCTCCATGCCTGCTATGCTCCCTCCCTCCATGCTACACTCCCTCCCCTCCATGCTACACTCTCTGCATGCCTGCTACACTCCCTGCCCATGGTGGCTTATTTCAGTCACACTTAATAAACAAGCCACATCAGCTTCCTAATATGGTGGATATATGAGACAACGGCCGAAATACGGAGCAAAATTTCTGCAGAAAAATTGGCCTAAATACGAATCGGCCGATAAACACAGCAGCTGAAAAACGAGGTTCCACTGTATAATGGTAGTGGGTTTGTGTCGACCATCTTTGATACTGGTTTAATGTCACCTTTGCACCATTTATAAAATTTCTGGTATATTTTTAAATGTTTATACAGTAGTGTACTGTATATTGGAAAAACAGAATAAGAGGAAATCAGCTCTAATATACACCTATCATCCGACTTACGACCAAGTTCGGTTCCGAGAAACTGGTTGTGAGTCGAAATGGTCACAAGTCAAACTTTACTACTGAATATCAACATAACATTTTTGTAATGACCTTATTTTATTGTTTTATTTTGGTATTTCATGTTTTACTTTACTTTTTATGCTGTTAGTACTGTATTTTATAGTGTAAGGTTTAGGATAAACACTGTGTACAACACAAATAGTTGCTTATTTCCCAGAAATTTGGTATAAAAAACACGGTCGTAAGTCGAGTGGTCGTAAGTCGAGCAGGTCGTATGTCGGATGGTAGGTGTACATTATTTAGGTATAAATACGGGTCAGAGAGCCTGTCGTAAGTCCAAGGAGTCGGTAAATGAGTACGTTGCTATGTGAGGAGAGGCTGTAAAGTAATTTTTCTTGCCTTTTTCTGGTTTTCTGTTTTTGTTACATCTTACACATCCAGACCACTGAAACTCCAGCCTCTAGGCTTGTTAATTCAAGTTTCTGCTCAACAATTAAGGTTCCATGCTTTTTCTTGGCACTGTCACTTTAGAGGCCACTGTTTTTAACATTATACATGGTACTTTAATAAAATTAAAAAAGTAAATTTAGGGTAAAATTGGATATGAAATAACGATGGTGTGAGCGTGTGTGTGTGCAGACATAACATAATGACATGGGCAGTCAATGGCAGGCCTCACTGCCCAGGAGCAGTGAAAGGGGACATATCCAGGACTAACCTCAAACTGTACAAACTTGCAATTAAGAGGGGCCAGTCCAATTTATTGAATTCACGATCTGACCTGATAGCTGTTTAATATGGTGGATTTGGTCCATGTCACGGTTAATTTAACTGGATACCCCATTCAGCATACATACTGAGCCTTTGTCAGGCCAGATTTTTTGTCTGCTTTAACTGACATCCACTTTACAGGATTCCATTTTATCAGATCTTTATTGTAATTTTATTTAGGTTGTAAATGTCTAAGCTGTTTGTATTTGTGTTAATAAATATATCTTGTACATTTCAGATTCAAGCAGCTGCTGCTAAGCTATTAGAAACAAAGATGCTGTACGTTCCCTTCCTGTTGAACTCCACCATCAATAGATAGCAATAAACCGATGGTTGGTTCTTGGAACAAGTCAGCTGCAAGGCGTCTTGTAGTGAACCATGTGCCGTCCTATGTCTCTGCTGTAACCAGCAGCAATGAGGGTGCTTCAGCCACTCTCACCATCATGCCTAGCAGTTGCCCACATCATGATTGACAACTAGTGACCAGTCCATGAACGTTACCAATTTCTGCAAGGAGCATGATGTTAATGAAGTGACAATTTAGCCAGAGCATTTATTTTGCTAAAGGAAATCATCAGTTGTTTTTTCCAGTGGTTGTGCAACCAGTTTACCTGTGATGGGGTGTGTACCAGTTTTTCAGAAATTTATATATAATTTCTTTTAAAGATTTTATAAAACTTTCAGACAGTTTACCAAAGGCTTTCTTTAGTAGAATGTTGTGGGTATGTATTAGGATTAGGAAAATTCTAATACCCTAAACAACAGAAATACTTAACGGTTGTGTGACAGACAAGTTGTGCACTTACTAGTGGCACAATTTCCCTTCCACTGATATTTTTCACGGCCATCTGAAAAACTTCCTACTAGTCGCAGAACGTTGAGTCTACTTAAAAGAATTCTAGTTTTATGGTGTTCTCAAGAGTATGACCAAGCACAAGACAGTTATGGCAGTTTTCCAAAGGTAGCCCCAGGTGGGCTACTGGGAGGCAGTAAGTTGGTGCAGGCAAGTTGTTGGTTGGGAGTGTGATCCTCAGCTCCCTCTAGTAGTCACATGATTGTGTTCTACAATGAGGGAGCACTTACATTGGTACCTGCAAGGATGGGCTATCAAACTCGTTCAGTATATGAACAGTATTGTATGAAAGAATCCACTCTTTTTTAAGTATTACCAGCAGTTTACAAGGAAAAGTTCCTAGAAAGATCCTACTAACAGTTTTCAATGCACTGATCTCAAAAGTGCAAAGAGGTATTATACGTCTTGTAAAACACATCACTTTTAAATGTTAAGATTTATACAGATGATTTGTATCTCAGAGGTGCAAGCCTCATTATTGTCCTGTGCTGCCATATGACAGTGTACCATTTATACCTTTATTAAGGATGAATAATTCTTAGAAATAATATATGGGAAAATCTTTTATTAAAAGTACATTTTTGTAAATACACTTTTGCAGATGAACGTTTTGTTTGTACAGTTTTCGGTACTAGAGCTGGTGTATGTTGTGAAGGTGTGAGTGTGCAGGTCTGTGTCTCCAGTGCAGGGCACAGACGGAGGCAGCTTACAGGGTACTCATCAAATAATGGCATTTTCTCTTGGCAAGTCTCAATTATGCATCAAATACATTATTTTTGAGTTATAGTATTTTACAAAGTTCCTGTTATTAAAATCTCTTATCACACTGTAAAATAGAATAAAATTGAAAGTCTTAATAGATTTCATTAAAATATGTTAAGTTTACAGTACTTGCTTATTTTATTTATTATTTATATTTTTAGTTAACATATTCTATACATTTTCTTACAAATATAATAAAACTTCCCTGGAAAGTGGTTCAATAATTGGAGGCTCAGAATGGACCTGTGCTTCTTTCAACAAGTACCTCCTGTATATTTAATACCTAGGCTTGAACCTCAGAACTCGATTTACAAATTGTGTACAGTATTTTAATTCGAAAATAATTTGAAACCAAAATTTTTGTAATTAGCTTTACCACATTATGAAATATTTGATAAAAATTTGCAAGTACATACATGCTTGTACACAGACCAGTGCTGCTGTACAATTTTTAAGTTACCAGTGGCTGCAAAGTAAATCTTACAAAGGTTGACTTAAGATGCAATGAGCTGTAGCATCACTACCAAAAATTCTCACTTTGCAAGAATATAAATTACTTATGAAATTACTGATATTATGGGGTAGTGGCATTGCAGTGGCCAACACTAGTCTTTGATCTCACTCTTATTTTTAAATAAATTGTCTTTAATGCTGAATATTGTCAACATGACATTTTCTGTGGTGTGAGATTAACATTCATGCAAGGCGAGTAGTATTAGGCAATGATGATGCAGCAGTAGCCAAAGTCAAAGCAGCCGTGAGTACACTGTAAGCCGACTCCTTAGTGTAGTCAAGCAATCAAATTTGTTGCTTCTATATTTAATGAAATAAACAACTGAACTTTGAATATTGTTTTTTAAACCACTTCCATATGAAAAAATCAAGAATTACCATATGGCAATAGAGTAATATCATTTCAGTCTCCCAAATTAGCCATTTTTATTGGACTGGGGAGCATGTGATGTAAAAGTGAAAATGGAAACACTGTATTTAACAAAAAAAAGTAATATAACAAAATATATACTGTAATCATATTTGGAATTCTTAAATTAAAAAATTAAAGGTACTTTAACTTTCAACTTTTTCAAATCGGAGAATGTTTTCAGAAATTCTGAATACAGAATTTTATTTTATTCTCATAGTTTATGCTGCATCAAAATAATACTGGCTCATTATTATTTTTTTTTTTCAACAAGTCGGCTGTCTCCCACCGAGGCAGGGTGACCCAAAAAAGAAAGAAAATCCCCAAAAAGAAAATAGTTTCATCATTCAACACTTTCACCACACTCGCACATTATCACTGTTTTTGCAGAGGTGCTCAGAATACAACAGTTTAGAAGCATATACGTATAAAGATACACAACATATCCCTCCAAACTGCCAATATCCCAAAACCCCTCCTTTAAAGTGCAGGCATTGTACTTCCCATTTCCAGGATGCAAGTCCAACTATATGAAAATAACCGGTTTCCCTGAATCCCTACACTAAATATTACCCTGCTCACACTCCAACAGATCGTCAGGTCCCAAGTATCATTCGTCTCCATTCACTCCTATCTAACATGCTCATGCACGCTTGCTGGAAGTCCAAGCCCCTCGCCCACAAAACCTCCTTTACTCCCTCTTTCCAACCCTTTCGAGGACGACCCCTACCCCTCCTTCCTTCCCCTATAGATTTATATGCTTTCCATGTCATTCTACTTTGATCCATTCTCTCTAAATGACCAAACCACCTCAACAACCCCTCTTCTGCCCTCTGACTAATGCTTTTATTAACTCCACACCTTCTCCTAATTTCCACACTCCGAATTTTCTGCATAATATTTACACCACACATTGCCCTTAGACAGGACATCTCCACTGCCTCCAACCGTCTCCTCGCTGCTGCATTTACCACCCAAGCTTCACATCCATATAAGAGTGTTGGTACTACTATACTTTCATACATTCCCTTCTTTGCCTCCATAGATAACGTTTTTTGACTCCACATATACCTCAACGCACCACTCACCTTTTTTCCCCTCATCAATTCTATGATTAACCTCATCCTTCATAAATCCATCCGCCGACACGTCAACTCCCAAGTATCTGAAAACATTCACTTCTTCCATACTCCTCCTCCCCAATTTGATATCCAATTTTTCTTTATCTAAATCATTTGATACCCTCATCACCTTACTCTTTTCTGTGTTCACTTTCAACTTTCTACCTTTACACACATTCTCAAACTCATCCACTAACCTTTGCAATTTTTCTTTAGAATCTCCCATAAGCACAGTATCATCAGCAAAAAGTAACTCGGTTCCCATTTTGAATTTGATTCCCCATAATTTAACCCCACCCCTCTCCCGAACACCCTAGCATTTACTTTTTACAACCCCATCTATAAATATATTAAACAACCATGGTGACATTACACATCCCTGTCTAAGACCTACTTTTACCGGGAAGTATTCTCCCTCTCTTCTACACACCCTAACCTGAGCCTCACTATCCTCATAAAAACTCTTAACAGCATTTAGTAACTTACCACCTATTCCATATACTTGCAACATCTGCCACATTGCTCCTCTATCCACTATCATATGCCTTTTCTAAATCCATAAATGCAATAAAAACTTCCCTACCTTTATCTATACTGTTCACATATACGCTTCAATGTAAACACTTGATCTACACATCCCCTACCCACTCTGAAGCCTCCCTGCTCATGCACAATCCTACATTCTGTCTTACCTCTAATTCTTTCAATTATAACCCTACCGTATACTTTTCCTGGTATACTCAGTAAACTTATTCCTCTACAATTTTTACAATCTCTTTTGTCTCCTTTCCCTTTATATAAAGGGACTATACATGCTCTCCGCCAATCCCTAGGTACCTTCCCCTCTTTCATACATTTATTAAACAAAAGTACCAACCACTCCAACACTATATCCCCCCCTGCTTTTAACATTTCTGTCATGATCCCATCAGTTCCAGCTGCTTTACCCCCTTTCATTCTACGTAATGCCTCACGTACCTCCACCACACTTATATTCTGCTCTTCTTCACTCCTAAAAGATGGTATACCTCCCTGGCCAGTGCATGAAATTACCGCCTCCCTTTCTTCCTCAACATTTAAAAGTTCCTCAAAATATTCTCGCCATCTACCTAATACCTCCCTTTCCCCATCTACTAATTCCCCTACTCTGTTTTTAACTGAAATCCATACTTTCCCTAGGCTTTCTTAACTTGTTTAACTCACTCCAAAATTTTTCTTATTTTCATTAAAATTTCTTGACAGTGCCTCTCCCACTATCATCTGCTCTCCTTTTGCACTCTCTCACCACTCTCTTCATCTTTCTTTTACTCTCCATATACTCTGCTCTTCTTATAACACTTCTGCTTTGTAAAAACCTCTCATAAGCTACCTTTTTCTCTTTTATCACACCCTTTACTTCATCATTCCACCAGTCACTCCTCTTTCCTCCTGCCCCCACCCTCCTATAACCACAAACTTCTGCCCCACATTCTAATACTGCATTTTTAAAAATATTCCAACCCTCTTCAACCCCCCAACTACTCATCTTTGCACTAGCCCACCTTTCTGCCAATAGTCGCTTATATCTCACCCGAACTTCCTCCTCCCTTAGTTTATACACTTTCACCTCCCTCTTACTTGTTGTTGCCACCTTCCTCTTTTCCCATCTACCTCTTACTCTAACTGTAGCTACAACTAAATAATGATCCGATATATCAGTTGCCCCTCTATAAACATGTACATCCTGGAGCCTACCCATCAACCTTTTATCCACCAATACATAATCTAACAAACTACTTTCATTACGTGCTACATCATACCTTGTATATTTATTTATCCTCTTTTTCATAAAATATGTATTACTTATTACCAAATTTCTTTCTACACATAGCTCAATTAAAGGCTCCCCATTTACATTTACCCCTGGCACCCCAAATTTACCTACTACTCCCTCCATAACATTTTTACCCACTTTAGCATTGAAATCCCCAACCACCATTACTCTCACACTTGATTCAAAACTCTCCATTATTATATTAAAAAAAAAATGCACTAAATCTATAATGACTCGCTGAACTACAGATAGCTATATACTGTGCTACCAAATGTGTTGCTACCTATTTGGATAACCCAGCTGTTACTTTGGTAGACTTCAAGTGAGCATTGGACAAAGCAAAAAGTACAGCAATATTATATGAAATAACAAAACTGAGGGCAAAAGGCTAAAAGCTTAAATAGTTTTTCAAGGATATTGCACTACACTTTACACAGATTTGAGAACACATCAAGGTGGAGTGCTTAGGCTTATACTATTTATCATTATGCATTCTACATGACTTAATATTGACTTCCAACAAAATATTATTTCTATAATAAAAAATTAAGAGAGATTTCATACACATTAGGAACAAAAGACAAAATTTCTGTAATACAAGAGGGCACCATTAGGTTCCCAACCCATGTGATAAATTGCCAGCGATTGGAAAAGAGCAGTTTATTCGTTATCGAATGCATCTAAAATGCCACAGTGTGTTTACACTCATATTAAGTGGTCAATAGTGCTAGGCATACAAAAACTAAGTAAAATAAATACATACAATACTTACCTTAAACTGCAGCGCTGGTCGCCCTTCCCTTGTGCAACTGCTGTGCAAAAACGTTGGAAAATCAGTAAGAAGCACCGAACATAATGAACAATGGCTCAACTGAAAGCCAATGAAAACGTGGAACACCAAAAAGAGGGTGCCGAATAAGCGAGGTCCTCCTGTACAGACATTTGAACTGAAAAAAAAAAAAAAAAAAAAAAAAAAAAAAATTGTAATATCAAATATGCAAAATATATAAATATATTCTCATGAAAAAATGAGAGAGAATCCTCTTCAAATAAATAAACAAAAAAAGATATTAGAATGAATATGTGGTGGTACAACAAGTCCTGGTTTCATTGTTTACTTACGCTAGTTAGGCAGCGTTGTCCCAGATTCACTGCTTGGACCCACCTGGTCTTAAATTATTTCCCAAGGCATGAAGAGGTTGTAGGAAACCCAAACAGCTAAGCTGAGGTCAAAAATATTGGTAAGTGATGTATCTGAAGGCACGAAAAATTGTGCACACTAATATGTTAGACACCCTTGTCACCTGCGTAGTATGGTGGTCACAATGAAAAGGTTAAATATCATTAAACTTTCATAAAAGAAAATTTTAAAATAAAGAAGACAGATTTTGGAATGGTAAATCCAATAGGCACAAGTTGTGTGTTGAAGGTAATTTAACTGAATGTAAGGAATGGTGTTGTGTGATGTTCTGTACCTTATCCACTAAACACATCCAGGACACATGAGCCCTGTCCTCTTTACAGTATATGTTACATATGCATAAAATGAAGGTAATGAAGGAAGAACTGAAGGAGGCAGTGAGTGAGGGAGTAAATAATGGCAGCAGTGAGGCAGGTAAATCAGTGAAGGAGGCAGTGAATTGGTCAGGGAGACAGTGAGAAAGTAGTGAATTGGTCAGGGAGGCAGTGAGAAAGCAGTTAATCAGTGAGATAGTGAGGAAGGTAGTGAGGCAGTGAGGGAGAGGTGAAGAAGTCAGTCAGTGAAGGTGATAGAGAGGCAGTTTGTGAGGTAGTGAGGCAGTAACAGCGAAGGAGTGAGGGTCGCAACCATCAGTCCAGGCCCAAAGACTCCTTCCTTGGCACCCAGTCAACCCACCCTGATATCTCCCCCACTTAGCCAGACAAGGGCCTCCCTCACTGGCTTGCAAGCTACCTACCGCCCTCTCCTGCCCTGCCAGTTAACCACTTACATAATGAATGATACAGCATAA